ACAGCCTACAGAATGGGAGAGAAATTTTGCAAACTATGCATATGACAAAGGCCTAATATCCAGCATTTATAAGGAACTTAAACAAATTTGCAAGAGAAAAACAAACAACCCCATTAAAAAGTGGGCAAAGGCCATGAACAGACACTCCAAAAGAAGACATACATGTGACCAACAATCATGAAAAAAGCTCAACATCACTGATCATTAGAGAAATGCAAATCAAAGTCACAATAAGATACCATCTCACATCAGGCAGGATAGCTATTACTAAAACGAAAAAAATAACAGATGCTGTTGAGGTTGTGGAGAAAAAGGAACATTTATACACTCTTGGTGGGAGTGTAAATTAGTTCAACCATTGTGGAAGACAGTGTGACAATTCCTCTAAAACCTAAAAACAGAAATACCATTTGACCCAGCATCCCATTACTGGGTATATACCCAAACCAATATAAATTATTCTATTATAAAGACACATGCGTGTGTTTATGGCAGCACTCTTTGTGATAACAAAGTCATGGAATCAACCTAAATGCACATCAATGATAGACTGGATAAAGAAAATGTGGTACATATACACCATAGAATACTATGCTACCATTTAAAAGAACAAGAGCATGTCTTTTGTGGGAACATGGATGGAGCTGGAGGCCATTATACTTAGCAAACTAACTCAGGGACAGTAAACCAAATATTGCATGTTCTCACTTATAAGTGGGAGCTAACTAATGAGTACACACGGACACATAGAGGGGAACAACATGCACTGGATCCTATTGGAAGGTGGAGGGTGGGAAGAGGGAGAGGGTTAGGAAAAATAACTAATGGGTACTAGGCTTAATACTTGGGTGACGAAGTAATCTGTACAAGAAACCCCCATGACACAAGTTTTCCTATATAATAAATCTGCATATGTATCCCTGAACTTAAAATAAAAGCTAAATTAAAAAAAAAAAAAAAGACCTAGAAAACATATTTAAGGAAATAATGGCTGAGATTTTCCCAAATCTGGAGATAACCAGTAGCACCCAAATACAGGAAATTCAAAGGTCACCAATTAGATTCAATGCAGGAGGAATTTCCCAAGGTACATCATAATCAAATTAGCAAAAATCAAAGAGAAAGAATATTTGCAGCACAAAGAATAAAGAAACATATGACATTCAACAGAGCCCCAGTACAGCTTTCAGCAGCTTATTCAACAGAAACCCTGCAGGCTAGGAGAGAGTGTTAAAGGGGAGGGAAAAAAAAAAAAAAAAAAAAAAAAAAACCTCTCGACTGAGACTACTATACCCATTAAAGTGTCTCTTCAAACACAAAGGAGAGATAAAGACTTTCCCCAAATAACAAAAGCGGAAGGAACTCATGAACACCAAACCTGTCCAAAAAAATGCTACAGGGAGTCCTTCCATCTGGGAGAAATAGACCGTAAGGTGTAACAAGAAAACATTTCAAAATATAAAAACTCACTGCTGAAAATAAGAAAATTGAAAACTAGACAAATTCAGAATGTATTAATACTGTAATTGTGGTAAGTAAACCACTTACATCTTAAATATGAAGACTAAAAGATAAAACTATTAAAAACAACAATTGCAACAGCTGGTTAAGAGATAGGCAATATGGAAGGATGTAAATTGAAACATCAAGAAGTCAAAATATGTAGAAGGTGCTATTAAAGTGTGGAGTTTGTTTTTGATGCTTTTCCTTGTGAGCAAAGTTAAGTTGTCATCAGTTTAAAATTACCTATTATATCATGTTTTTTGTAAGCCTCATGGTAACCACAAAGCATAAACCTGTAATAGCACAGAATCAAAACATATTACTAGAGAAAATTACTTAAACACAAAGTCAGGTAGTAAGAGAGGTAAAAAGGAAGAAAAAATTCACACAGTAAGCAGAAAACGAATAACAAAATGACAACAGGAAACCCTTACGTATCAATAAAAACCTTGAATATAAGTAAATAAATAAATAATATCAGCCCCAGCTATATGCTGTCTATAAGAAACTCACTTTCTCTATAAAGACACAGGCTGAAAATGAAGGGATGGACAAAGATATTCCACATACACTGAAACCAAAAAAGAGCATGAGCAGCTATACTTATATCAGATAAAGTAAACTTTAAGTCAAGAATGGTAAGACAAGGAGGGCCATCGTATAAAAATCAAGAGGAGAGGCTGGTCTCAAACTCCCGACCTCAGGTGATCCACCCACCTCGGCCTCCCAACGTACTGGGATAACAGGCGTGAGCCACCATACCCGGTCCTTGGTTATAAGCTTTAAAGAATTTGTTTGCTATTTTACACATTAAGACTGTGTTTCTAACAACTATTTAAAGTTATAAACTCTTCATTGATAAAGAATAAATCTTATATCACTAAAAGATGAATATGCAATAAGATGTTTTCAGACAAAGAAAAGCTGAATTCGTTTTTCTCAAGCTTATCTCTACTGCAAGAAATGTTGGAAAAAAGCCTGAGGAGTTAAAAAAGGAAAAAAATTAGACCAAATAGAAACCTAGTTAATTAAGAAATAATGAATAGCACCACAAGTGGTAAATACATCAGTGAATATAAAGGACCTTTTAAAACAATCTTGAAATCTCTTTAAAAGAATACTGATTATTTAAAATAAATACATTAACCATATATTGTGGGTGTTATAGCTAATATAAAAGCAAAATATTTGACAACAGGAGTACAAAAGTTTGGAAGGGGCTAAATGTAATCTATTGTAAGGTTCTTTTTTTTCTTACCCTTTTCTATGGTGCTGATATTGAAAGATTCTTTAATCATGAAGTAGTAGAATATTTTTTGAAGGGTGGTTGTGTTAAGGCACATACTGTGATCTTTAAAGAAGTCACTTTTTTAATAACACTAAGGAGAATAACAAGAAAGTCATTTTTAAAAAAAAATGATGTTTGAACAAATGGTCTGTTCACAGCAAAGAAGGCAAGAAAAGAATAGAGGAATAAGGCTGAGTGCTGTGGCTTATGCCTGTAATCTCAGTGCTTTGGGAGGTCAAGGCAGGAGGATTCCTTGATGCCAGGTGTTTGAGGACAGCCTAGGCAACATAGCAAGACCCTGTCTCTACAAATTTTCTGTTTAGAAATTAGCCAGGAATGGTGATATGTACCTGTAGTTCTAGCTACTCAGGAGGCTGAGGAAGATCACATGAGCCCAGGAATTTGAGGTTTTGCTGAGCTATGATTGTGCCATTGGACTCCAGGCAGGGTGACTGAGCGAGACCTTGTCTCTAAAAAAAAAAGGGAGAATAGAGAATAGAAGAACAGAAACAGATCAGACAAACAGAAAAAAGCACCAAAATGGTAAACTTTAGCCTAAACATATTAGTAATTTTGTTAAATGTAAATGGGTTAAACATCACAATAAAAAAATAGAGACTGTCAAACTGGCCAATGAAGTACCACTCAATTATTTGCTATTTACAGGAAGCGTACTTAAATAAAGGCACTGATGGTTAAAAAGTAAAACTGGAAAAAGATAACAGTAGGCATTATAAAGCTCTTATAGCTGTATTAGCTGACTAAGTAGAAAATAATACTAAAGAAAAAGAGTATTACCAAGTATAAAGAGAAGTGTGAAAATGTTTAAACGGTCAATTCATCAAGAAGACAGAACAATCTAAATGTGTATAGATATAATAAGAATGCCTCAAAATTCATCAATCAAAATTTGACAGAACTAAAGTGAGAAGTAGAACAATTCACCATTATAACTAGATATTAGACTTAACATATCTTGATCAAGAATTGATATGTGTAGTAAAAAACAATTCAGTAAAGATATAGAAGATCTGAAATAACTCCAGAAACTAACTTGACCTAATTAACATTTATAGAATGATAAATCCAATAGCTGCAGAATAAACATTACTTTTTAGGTGCACATAGAACAATTTCAAGATATATGTTGGGCCATAAAACATATCTCAGGAAATTTTAAAAGATTGAAATATTGTAGTTCTCATACCACAACAGAAATAAAATAGAAGTCACAGTAAGATATCTAGAAAAGTACCAAATATTTGTGCTAAATATTTATGTAAATATTAAAAAGCACTAAGTGTTTGGAAATCAAACAACACACTAATTTAAAATTAGGTCAAGAAAGAAAGCACCAAGGAAATCAGAAATGTTTTAAACTGAATGACAATGAAGACAGTACAGAAATTGGCACATTTAACAAGAAGTTTCAGGTAGATGCTGGATTAACAGATAGAAATCAGAGAAATAAAGGTAGAGATATAAAAAGGGGTAAAGAAAATAATTATATATAAAATAGATTCAATTATATTTCAGCACATAGCAATGTTTGCTTGTTAGTGATTGAACTAATTCTGTCACGCATATAATACTACACTTGTCACACACACAAATACTTAGTCTGATATGGTTTGGATCTGTGTCCTCACCAAGTCTCATGTCAAATGGTAATCTCCAGTGCTGAAGGTGGGGCCTAGTGGGAGGTGATTGGATCATGGGGATGGATTTGCTCTTCTCCTGATAGCAAGCGAGTTCTCATGAGATCTCTTAGTTTTAAAGCCCTCCCTGATCTTCCTGCTGCTATGACCATGTAAGACTGCTTCCCCCTTCACCTTCCGCTATGATTGTAAGTTTCCTGAGGCCTCCCCAGAAGCCAAGCAGATGCTGCCATGCTTTCTCTACAGCCTGGAGAACCATGAGCCAAATAAACCTCTTTTCTTTATAAATTACCCAGTATCAGATATCTCTTTATAGCAGTGTGAGAACAACCTAATGCATAGTGTTTCTATTTTGCTTCCATCTTTTACATACCAAAGAAACTATTAACACGACAGACTAAAAAAAATGAATGGATGACGAGTATAGGCTTGTTAGTATGTTGTGTAAAACATTCTCATTCAAATTATGTGCTGATTTTGTTTTACTCTTGTATGAACTATTTTGTGCCTTGTTAATGATTAACTTCTTATCTCTTGTCACTTTCTTTTAGGGCTTTTTTATACTACATTGTCCAGACTTAACACCTTTAGCTTTCCAGTTGATATATCTTAATTTGTCATTTAATGATCTTCGTTACTTTCCCACAGAAGTGAGTCCATTTTTATTGTTATATACTGCTGTAACTTATTGTGTATAATAATTATAATAAAAATAGACATCTTTTAATACCTCGAAGTTACTATAAAGTGCTGTAAATGTACTTTGGATTGCATCTTTTGAGTGGCTTATTTTCAGAAGCACAAAATGTACAGTACATCTTTCTTAGGAAGTCCCATGATGTAATCCTCAAACAATATGTTATAATGAGGCTCTCAAATGTGTTCTCATAATTCTGTAATGTATATTAAATATTTATTCTTCTAACTCTGAATGTAATCTAAAATAAACCTTATTTATATTCTAATTGGAAGCTTTAAAAGCAAAGTAAACATGTAGTGTTGTAACAAGTTTTAATTACCAAAGGATAAAATATAATATTCTGCTTAATAAAATGTATGAAGGATAATCAGATATGGGATTAGCTAATTTAATATCATTTTAGGTGAATGAATCATTATGAATAATTAGGACAAATTGTGTTTTTAGTGTCTTTAGTCATTGTTTCATTGATACTGGGTAATTGGTGGTTTTGTGAATTGATTTCCAGAGTATTGTCTTTCAGCGAGTTGATTTTTGGCAAATGTACTTTCTTCCTATTTCAATCATATACTATTGAAAACATATATTTTCCATACTTTCTCTATAATATCATGTTTTTATTTTCAATTGGAGAAATTATTTCTTTTCTAATATGTAACACCAGTTTTATTAATTTGACTGGGAGAAATTGACAAGAATTCCCAAGGAATATAAAGATCTGAGTTATTCACACTAATTTAACTTTTCTTCTAAGTAGATACAGGTAATATTTGTGTATCTGCCAAAGAGAATTCCATCCACTAAAAAATAAATGTGTGAAGACAAGAGGGCTAGTCACATGTAAGATATGAAGTGCTCATTATTAAAGTGACAGAGATCAACTTGTCATTAAAATGTAGGTCTGTGTTATATAGCTATAGGTAAAATATTCCAATGAAGATGGTACTATCTAGGCTTAGAGGGGCTGTTTTGGGGACAGGCTGATGAGGCCCAGTTGTTAGCATGGCATAAAGGCAATAAATAGAAGGCTGGGGACTGAGGTAAGTGGGGTGATTCAAATTATTACCAGTTTCATGGAAAATTCAAGATGGTTGAATCAGGCAGAGTGCAGTGTCCACTAAAATAGTTTAGGATGGGAGAAGGTAGAAGCAGAAATGTTAAATAAAGATTAATATAGCAAACTCTATATACATATACTCGGTCTTCTTCTCTAAGATTCTTAAACAGTCATAAAATCAAATATAATACTAAGTATAATAAAGTGTTGTTAGGTCTGTAACATATATGGATATGATATACATGGAAATTATAGACACAAAAGGAAGAAGGAATTGAATGTGTATGAAGAACATTTTCATATCTCACTGGAATTAAGTTAGTATAAATCTGAAGTAAATTCTGATAAGGTATATATTATAACCTCTAAACAATCACTAAGAAAATAACGCAAGATAACATACTAAAAACACTTATTGAAGTCATAAAATGTTACACTAGAACATATTCACTTGATGCAAAAGAAGGTAGTAGAGGAGGAATTAAAAGAACATATGACATATAGAAAGCTAAAAGTGAAATGACAGATATAAATCCAATCATGTCAATAATAACATTAAATGTGAATATATCAAACAATCCATTCAAAAGATACAGATAGACTGTACAAAATTATACAAGTTCTTTTATAGATTCAGTGATACACTGTCTGCAGAAAACACACTTAAGATTAAAAGAAACACACTTAAGATTGAAGAGGTTGAAGCGAAAAGCATGAGAAAATATATATCATGCAAACAGCAACAATAGAAATGCTGGAGAGACTATACTAATATCAGACAAAATATATTTTAAAGCAAAAAAAGTTACTAGAAATAAAAAGGGACATTTGTCAATTTATCAGATAACAGAACGTTATAAACAAGTGTTTATTTAGTAACAGAACCCCCAAAGTGTATGAAACAAAAACCAAAAGAATTGGAGGAATAGAAAATTCAACTGTAACAATTGGACACTTCAATATCCCACTTTCAATAATGAATAGAAAAATTAGTCAGAAGAACAAGAGGGAAATAGAATTGAACAACACTATAAACGAATTAGACCTAATAAATCTGTATGGAATATATTAGAGTCTAACTCAAACCAACAGCAGCAGAATACACAATTCTCAAGTTCACATAGAACATTTTCCAGGATAAATCGTATATTAGGCTACAAAATAAGTCTCAATAAATTTAAAAGGATTGAAAAATCACAAAAGTCTGTTTTTGGCTACAGTGGAATTAAATTATAAACCAAAAACTGAAAGAAATTTGGAAATTCACAAATACATGGAAATTAAGCAACATATTCCTAAATAACCAGTGAGTCAAAGATTAAGTTATAAGTGAAATTAGAAAATATTATTAGATAAATGAAAATGAAAGCACAACATACCAAAATTTCTGAGCTGCATTACAGAGTACTCAGAGGGAAATGTATAGCTGTAAATGTAAATCTTTTAAAAAAGAAGAAATATCTCAAACTAACTTTTCATGTAAAGCCACTAGAAAAAAAGAGCAAACTAAACCTAAACAAAGAATAAGCAATGAGACAGTAAATATTAGTATAGAAATTAGTGAAATAGAAGATAGAAAAATAGAGAAAATTTAAAAACAGAAGTTATTACTTTAAAAAAATCAACAAAATTGACAAACCTTATGTAGACTCATAAGAGAAAAAGACAGAAGACTTATGTTACTAAAGACAAGGATGAAAGAAGAAACATCGCTACTGACCTTATAGAAATTAAAAAGATTTAAGGAAAATACTATAAATAACTGTATACCAACTAATTAAATAACTTAGGTGAAATGAACACATTCTTACAAAGGCACAAGAAGGGACTTTAGAAAATATGAATGACTCCATTATCCTAAAAAGTGTATAAAAATGCAAAGGATTACAAAGAGCCAAAATAATTTTGAAAAGAAAGGCAAACATGGAGACTGATGCTTCCTGATTACACGAATGAACTTGCTGTACTCCACCAATTTTGGACCTTTATGATGATAACAAGGTTGAATTTAATATTAAAGAGAACTAATATAAGACCTTCTTAATATTCACCAGAGAGAAATATACTAATCAAGTAAAGATCATAGATTTAGTTATTTGTTTTTCTTTTTAAAATTTGTATACATTTAAGAGGAAGATAATAGATTTAAATGGTTTATTCTATTTTTAAAACTTCACATGAAAAATCAGTGTATATGAAATTACCGTGATATCAAAAATAATCTGGCTATGATATCTGACACTTCTCTGATGACTAAGGTTAATTCCACCTATCTTCCTGGTTCTGCAGATATCTCCTTCTTCCTTCATTATTCCGTGATTGCCTCATATGAAACCGTGAGCTTGATCAGAAAGGGTGACTTTCACACTTAGAAAAGGACCATTCTTGAGTCAAAGTTGTATGAGTACAGTGGTTGCCATATCATGCCATATCACTATTTCACCATATCATACATATTAATGCTGGTCACTTGTTTTGAAGGTTGACCGAGGGTGTGTTCATGATATAGCCAATTGATGTTGCTATAATGATTCTACATTAGTTCAGAGAGTTTATAAAAGGTAACAAATAATAATTTGCATACTTTATTATTCTGCTCATGTTTGTTTCTCTTTTCTGTTCCCCAGATATTGTGTCTTAAAAATTTACAAATACTGAAACTGAGAAATAATCCTATCAAAGAAATTCCTTCTGAAATTCAACAACTTGCGTTCCTTAGAATTTTCACCATTGCTTTTAATTTAATTACTGTTCTTCCAACTGGGTAAGGTTGATGGTCTGAGATTATAAACACAGAAAATAATTTATAATTTTTGAAAAAGATCGATTTCCCCTTTGAAAGCAGCTAGTAACTTCTATTTAGTAATTCGTATTCTATTCCAATTAGCTAATATGCTGCTTCTTATGGTGTTAAAAACAATCCTACCAGCCACATACAGAGCAATTAATATGGGTCTAGTGACTATACATCTAGAAATATGTTATCTGAGTATGGGTTAAATTAACAGGAATTATCTAAAGCAGTTCAGGTGAGAGTCTTGCATCTATCTCTTGACAGCCTTTTTTTGGATATGGAAAGAGCACTGAATTTGGAATGAGGAAATCTAGACCTTTGGCTTTAAAGTTGATGATAATTATATATTTGATCTGGAGAAAGTAATTTAACCATTCTTGGCCTCAATTTCCTAATCTATAAACTAAGAAGATTGGCTTATATGATATCTAAGACCCTTTCAACTCCATAGGAATGCTGATATTTGGACATAAAAGAGATGGATTTCTTCCCACGTATGGACTAGTAATTATTTAACTCCTAATGAAAGTTATAAACCAAAACCTTAACCAAATGTCAAACAAGATACTTATTCCAATTAGAATTTAACAAATTGAATCTCTAAGCGCAAAGAGAAAGGGACTCATAAATAGTTGAATAATACTTTGCAAAATAAAAGTTTTATTTATGGTAACTAAGGAATTGCATCCAAATTCATTTATAAAGATGTTCATTTGGTATTGTTTGTAATTAATGATCTAACAAATTGTACATTCATAAACATTCAGTTATTTAAAAGAATAAGAAATTATATTAAAAAATTATACATTTCTGTGTAAAATACATATACATATCACACATTACACATCACACGTATAAAAAGAAAGAATAAACACTAAATAAGTAAGAATGTTACATAGGGTATTTTACTTCTATATAAATATGTGCATATACAGCATCTAAACATGAATTCCTACTGAAAAATCTATAATCATAATTATACACTTTTAATAATCATAACTACCATTTAAGCAAAATAAATTCCTAAAGCAAGTGAAATGTGATTATAACTAAAAGGTCAACATTTTGTTCCTTGTTTAGATATTGGGCAAATAAGTATGAATTGTTGATTATTCATACTTTCAAAAAGTTTGTGGAAGCTATTTTAAAAAAAATATTAGTGTTTCTAAAAGCACTGTATTTTTATTAAATAACATAGGATTATTTATTATTAAATAACAAGGAAAGAGTGACAGCATATTAAAGCCAAGAATGAAAAACATAATGGGGAAAACTTAACTTTATTGGCCTCAAAGACTTCAAGCAAGCTCTGACATAATAAAAATTTTATTTGCAAAGCTTGTTCAATGAAAACTCACCAGGAGGGTACTTATACAGTGAAGAATGAAGGTGCTGAATTCTTCATATCTAAGGGTTGTTGTCAGAACTCTACCTTGCTGAGCAAAGAAGACCTCACACAGTGTGGTGAGACTTAGAGATCAGTAACTGAATTAAATTGAGTGAAATTTAGTGAACTAAACAATTATGTAATATATTTGAGATATTCTAGCTCCATGTAAATTCTGGAGTTTGGACATTATTACCATCACAAGCAATTGCACTGATACACTTTGACTGTTATACTTTCATTCTTGTAATTAATTCAGCAGATGTCCATGAAGCATCTATTTTAATACCGTGTGCTCCTAGGAGCTCACCACCTAAAAGGAAGGCAGATAATTGAATACAATTGAGTAAAGTAAAATAATGGAGATGTACACAGTAAAATATATGAGTTACATGTAGCCCATTCTTAAGGGTAAGAGATGGTTCCCTGGAAGATGTGGTATTTGATCCAAAGATGTTTGAGTGTGAATTAGGTAGATTAAACAGGAGAGACGACAAAGGATATTTGGGCCAATGATAGGGTGGATATTTCTTCAATGAAAAGTTACAACGTATATGAAAAGAAGCAGCATGTATAACATGAGATGGGAAATACAGGCAGTTTGCTGTTTTTGAAGCTTAGAGGGCAATGCCAAGTGGTAATAAATGGTACAGATTATCTGGGAAGCCTTGTGAACGAAGGTAAAGAATTTATGCTATATGCAGTGAGAAACCTTTACAGGTTTTCCATAAGTGTGTGGTAGAGTCAAACTTACATTTTAGGTTATTCTAGTGGCAGTGTGGAGGATGGATGTGAGGGGATAAACAGAATTAAAGGTGATCAGTTGGAAAGCCATTGCAGTAGTTCAAGCAAGAGATGAAGAGAACTTGGACCAAGGCAATGGTCGTGAGCATGGAGAAGAAGGAATGAATTGTTATGAAATTGAAGTAAAACCTGTAATACCTAGAATTGAGACACAGAGGTTATAAGGAACAGAAGAATCAAAGTAAAAAAAAAAAAAAGTCCATTCAAGGTAACACCCAGATTTCTAATTAGAGTGAAACAATTCAATCATGTAAAATATATTTATTGAGTATTTATTAAATACTGGGCTCTGTCCCAAGCATTGGGTTTAGATTGTTAAAAGAAAGGGGCATGATCTTTTCCCTTATGGGGTTTAGAATCCAGAGAAGGATACAGGCATTTTAATAAACGCCATAATAAATATATGAATATATAAATATAAAACATTCTAAGGGCTTTGACTGAAAAGAACAATATGATGTCAGGAGAAAAAAAAATTGAGTCACTAAGAAAGGCGTATCTGAGGAAATGACATTTAAGCAGAAGTTTATGAATCCAGGCCAAGAATAGGAAAAAGAATATTCATGCAGTGGGAATAACATGTGAGGTAAAAAGAGCTTGGACTCCTCAAAGGCTTACAGGAAGCCAGCATGGCTTAGAGTAAAACCCAGGTGAGGTTTAGGAGTTGGATGGGGACTATATCCCATGAAGCTTTGAGGGTCAGGTGAGACATTTATAATTTATTTAAAGTGCATTGAGAAGCCATTGGTTGTTTTTTAAGCACAAGAGTGACAAGGCTGAGGAGGTTTGAATGAAGAAAAATAATGAGTTTTGTTTTAGATTAACATGTTGGTTTTAGATTTCTGTTTTCCATTACAAATCTAGACTTAGACATATTAACCTCACAGGAGAGTTTCGTGCTGGAGATATTTCTGGAGAAACGTCTGTGTTTCAAAGACAGACAGATAAAGAAGAAATTATAAAAGACTGAGGAAAAGCCTCAAATTGCATAAAGAGAACCAAGTGCATCATGGAAGTCAGGGAAGTGGATTATTTTGAAAAAGAAGGATGACCAACAGTGTCAAATACAATAGAGAAGCTCAGTAAGAGTAAAAGTGAGAACAGTTTTAGTGGAATGATGGCAATAAAAGCCAGCTTGCAGTGGGTTGTGATGGAATGGGAAGAGAGAAATTGGTAATAGTGTAGACCATTCTTTGTAGAACTTTAGAGGCAATGTGAGAAGAGCAATTAGATAAAAGCTATAGAGAATGTGAGATCTTAGAAACATTTTTGTTGTTAGATTTTTAAAGACTCAGGCATATTTACAGGATGTTGGAAAGAAACCAATAGGGAATAGATGGAAGATGTGGAAGGATGATAGATGATGCAGAATTTCACAGGAGATGGGAGGGGAAGAAGTCATCAGCTCAGGTGGAGATTCTGGTCTTGAACAGGAGGAGTAACCCTTATCTTCTAAAACTGGAGGTAGGTCCTAAAAATGAACATGTAAAATATATAGTTATAAGGGTAAGAAAACAGGAAATTCATTTAGTCAGCAAAGATTTATTTAGCTCCTATAATGCATCAGTTGAGAGAGATTACTATGAAATAACTTCAGATAATCTTTGAGAGCAAGAAGAATAATGATTGAAAAGAAATTTTAAAGAAAATTGTGATGATTTAGTATTGATATTGAGAGGAATGGAAAAGAACAGAGCATAGAAAAGTGAATGTTTGAGAGACGATGCTGTGGGCTTAGCTGAGACTGTTCTGGAAAATTCTAAAAGTTGATTGATACAACAAATGATTTTTTGAGTCTGACATCTTTCACTCAACATAAATTTTGGGGATTCACCCATGTTGTATATATTAGTATTCCATTCCTTTTTAATGATGACCTCATGTCACATGGCCTCAGCCATTTCAGCAAAGTCAAAAATAGAAATGGGATTAACTGGGAATGAAATCTGTGGACAAGTCTTTTGTCTTATGGAATGATACCCATGAAATACATGGGAACCCCAACAGGTTCTTGAAGATTTTATACTAATAGAAATGTTGCCAGAGTGTATTAAGGACAAAGACAGTATGAAATGAAAAAACGCTGTCAGATCTCCAAAATTCCATGGTCAGGAAACAGCTGAATATGTGTGCCAACTTTCATGAAAAAGGGAGGATGATTCAGAGGGTGGTGCCAGGAACCGGGGAGGATGAAGCCAGGAGCACAGAAGGTGGAGATGTGATTCCAAAAGACAGAGCCAGGAACCAGGAGGGCAGAAACTGGAAAGTAGGCGGCAGAGCTGGGAGCTACTGCTCATTATTCCCAGGCCTGGAAACCAAATGAAGTTTACTCAGTCCTATTTCAGAATTGCTTGGGATTGGTAATTCCTGTTTACGTTTCATTTTCTCCCTTTTGGACCAGAATATCTATAACTTATCCTATGCCTGTCTCACAGATGTATTTTGAGAGCAGATAACTTGTTTCTTTAATTTCATAGATCCACAAATGGAGAAAAGTTGTACTTCTGGATGGGTTATATCTGGAGCCTCACCTATACCTGATTTAGATGATGAGATATGGGACTTTGGAGATTTAGATGAGATGTTGAACTTTGAGTTGATGCTGTAAAGGGTTAAGACCTTTCAGGAGATTGAGATAAGTGAATGTATTTTGCATGTGGGATAGAGGTGAATCTTTAGGGATGAACTGTGATAGGCAGAATAATGGTCCCCAGAGATGTTTGTATTCTACCAGAACCTGTGAATATGTTATATTACAGGGCAAAGGGAAATTAAGTTTGGAGATGAAATTAAGGGTTCTAATCAGCTGATCGTAAAGTAGGGCGATTATTCTGGATTAGTCGAGTGGTCCCAATCAAATCACATGAGCTCTTAAAAATGGAAGGGGATGCAGAAGCATCTGTCAGATACCACCTGAGGACTTGGCTTGCTTTTGTTGGTTTTGAAGATGGAGGAAGGGAGCCACGAGTCAAGGAATGAGGCAGCTTGAAAACCTGGGAATGGCCTTCAGCATACGGCCAACAAGAAAACAAGGGCCTCAGTTCTACAGCCGGAAAGAACTGAATTCTGCCAACAGCCTGCATGAGTAAGGAAACAGATTTTTCTAGAGCCTCCAGATAGGAATGCAGTCCTACTGATGCCTTAATTTTCGTAGGGTGAGACCTGTGCAGACTTCTGACCTATATAACTATAATTAAGAAATCTGTGTTGTTGTACACCACTGTTTGTGTTGCAATTTGTTATGGCAGTAACAGCTAAACTGAAACTAAAACTAAACCAGTCAAAGATTTCAACTCTTGTGGGGAGTTGAAACTCTTGTTTATTTTGGTGGCTAAGTATTGTATTTAAAAGATTGTCTTTTTAATTCTTTTCATTATTAGTCTTTTTCTTATAGTTTCCGTATGTTAAAATATGCATACATATTTTTTCCCAGATTTATTATTTTGGTACCTTCTCAAAGTTTTACTAAAAGTATAATGGAGTACTTTCACTGTTATCTTTGCATTCCTAACAAGATCTTGCTAAGTTTCATGAGACTCAAAGTGATAGAGTAGAAAAAGCAAGATACTTTCAGAGGCAAGCTCTGCCCCTTATGTGCAATAGACTCTGGCAAGCTACTGACCTACTCTTTTTTTTTTTTTTTGAGACAGAGTCTTGCTCTTGTTGCCCAGGCTGGAGTGCAGTGGCAGGATCTTGGCTCACCACAACCTCTGCCTCCCAGGTTCAAGCAATTCTCCTGCTTCAGCCTCCTGAGTAGCTGGGATTACAGGCATGCACCACCATGCCTGGCTAATTTTTTGTATTTTTAGTAGAGACTGGGTTTCACCATATTGGCCAGGATGGTCTCGAACTCCTGACCTCGTGATCCGCCCACCTCGGCCTCCCACAGTGCTGGGATTACAGGCGTGAGCCCCCGTGCCAGACCCTGACCTACTCTTAACTTCAGTTTCCATCTGAAAGTTTAGAAAACTAACACTTGTCTTCAAGGATGTTACAAAAATTAGGTAAGAAAATCTTGTAAATTGGCTGGGCATGGTGGCTCACCATGTAATCCCAGCACTTTGGGAGGCCAGGGTGGGCGAATCACGAGGTCAGGAGATCAAGACCATCCTGGCCAACATGGTGAAACCCCATCTCTACTAAAAATACAAAAATTAACCGGGCATGGTGGCACGTGCCTGTAACACTCAGGAGGCTGAGGCAGGAGAATCGCTTGAACCAGGGGAGTTGGAGGTTGCAGTGAACTGAGATCACGCGGCTGCACTCCAGCCCGGCGACAGAATGAGATCCATCTCAAAAAAAAAAAAAAAAAAAAAAAACGTAAATTATTTTAAAAATCCTTTCAATTATTTTCCCAGATTTGTCTCTTTTCCTTTATTTCTAAAATAAAATAAAAGGTGCAATATTTTTGAAATTATGTAACGATTGTTTCAATGTAGGGCAAATTAGAAGTTAATAAAGAAAATAAAAATTCTATTTGAGTAAAGCACACATGTACTGAGGCCTACATTTTTGTTCCTAAGGTTTTGCTTTGAGCTGCTTAGGGCATACTGTGTGAGGCAGCATGGAGGCAGGAAAGCTCAGCTTCTGCGGAAGAACAGGGGCCTCCTATTGGGGGCAGGTGGATGGACACTCCCATGTTATGCTTGGAACTTTATTACTATAAAAAGCTCTTTGATTTGTCTTTTCAACTCTCTTATAAAATGAAGCTAATGAATCACTTCAAAAATCCAAATTTTTTTTTCTCTTCCTAAAGCTTTTGTAGAAAAGATAAAAGATAAAAAAAGGAGAAAAAGGGAGGTGGGGTGAAGAAAAGTAAAGGACAGAGACAGGTTTTAGACTCATGCCCTGAGGTTATGCAGAAACAACTGTGGCAAAGGTTAAAACAAAAAGTCTTTATCTTTTCCTCAGTGGATAGCAGGAGACAAATGACATAGAAAATAGCTACTTCAACTAAGGGAGTCAAATCTTTGCCTTACTTGTTTGACTCAATTTGCTTTAATTGGCAGGTACGTTCTTTGGGAAAGAGAAACTACTTGAAACAAAAAGAACCTAACAGCCTACTTGAAAGCCCTGTCTTAAGAGCAGATTCTGAAATTGTACACATTTATTTCCCCATATTGTTATTTATTAAAGAAGGGGATTAAATTGCCTTGCCTCCACATATCTGATGAAAAGGGAGAGCTACATTTTATTTCATACCAAATTGGATAAATTGCTTAACCTCTTACAGCTTCCATTTTTTTTAATCTGTGAAAAACAACAATCCTATATTGGTATGGTAAAAGATCATTCTAAATTGCCATATAGTTGGCTTTTAATAAATATTTATATCAGTGTGGTGGTCATTGCTGATAATACATGAAATTATTAATGCTAGTCTAATCTTGCAAGCTAACAGAAGGGCTCTAGTTTAAGCAGCTCATTGGCCAATAATATGCTACTAAATAAAGCAATGAAATAAATGTAAAAAATTTTACATATGCTAAAAAATGTGATAGATTTGGTACTGATGGGGCATAGAGTATCAGACCAAACTGAGGGTGTCGGAACAGATTTTCTCTGTAAAAACCATATATAAATGACATAAACTTCAACTCTAGAACCTATTCAGCTTCCTCAGTGCTGCCTACACCTGTTACATCTCACAGTCAGCAGGAATATGTCATCCATAGTGAAAGCCTGGAACTAAACTAGGTTGCCAGAGCCAAAGAAATACGGGAAGATAGAATGACTCCAGAAACTGCCTGAGGCAAGAAAATGATATGATATTGAATTGAAAGACAGAGCAAATGGTATTAACATTTTCTTTACAGAGATGATAAGAAGTCAGAGATGAACATTGCATTGAAAAGGCATTTCTTTTGTTTTCCTAGTCAATCTCATTAACTTCTCAGAGCAAATTATTTTAAATTAACTGGGGTCACCATTCCTTTCATTCAGTTATGATTTACTCAGCACTTACCATGTACTAGACACTGTGTAAGGCATTGGATATATAGAAATATAAAATTGAATCCGTGTCCTCTGGAAGCTCATAATTTTAGGAGGCAGACATTTATTGCACAATGTGATGGGTACTATGAGAGGGTAAGCAGAGAAGTACAGAAGAGGCATCTCACCCAGTCTGAAGGATTTGGGAAGAGTTTGTTGGATGATATCTGAGCCAAGACAAAAAATGAAATGACAATGATCAAAGAGTCAAGCTTGGGGAAATTTTACGTGTTATTTAGAGATATGTGATAACTGGTTAATTCAGGGAAGTTTAGCAAATAAATGCTGGACCACAGAGGAATATGGGGGACAAGTAGCATGGGACCAGATCATGAGGACCTTTATATGCCATGTTAAGATAGTAAGAAGTTAGTGAAAAATTCTGCTCATGATGCCTTAAAAATCATACAAATAACTTTTCAGCTTTTATTTATATGGAAAACAAGAAAGTCTTTGAGAACCGCACATACAAAGAAGGGGGTGTTTACTAGGGGTTATGATGACTACGATACTGAGGCCTTGAATTCCAGTCTTCAAGAAGCAATTCCCACTTCCATCCCCTAGGAGTCACAGCTTGTGACAGCACAACTATGTTTTTACAGACTGTTTGTATTCTTTGGTTCTCACCTTTAAGTACCTGTCTTGATGGAAAGAAAGATCAAAGGTATTTTACTAGAAAAGTCTTAATGCAATTGTAGTGGGTTGACTGGCATCTCTCAGAAATTCATGTCCATATAGAACCTTAGAATGTGACCCTGTTTGGAGATAGGGTCTTTGCCGATGCAGTTAGTTAATATAAGGTCATACTTATACTAACTTGGTTAAGGGTGGGCCCCAAATTCGATGGCTATTGTCTCTATAAGAAAGTCATGTGAAGACAAAGACAGAGGTTGGAATTATGCTACCACAAGCCATGGAATGCCAAAGGTCGCAGGCAACCACTGGGAGCTGGGGGAGAAGCAAGGGACAGTTTCTCCCTCAGAGCCTCCGAAGGGAACCAGCCCTGCTGACACCTTCATTTTGGACTTCTGGCCCCCTGAACTGTGAGAAAATGCATTTCTGTTACTTTAAGCCACCCAGATGATGGTAATTTGTTATGTCATCTCTAGGAAACTAATGCAACAAACAAACAAACAAACAAAAGTAAGTGATAATGAAAACTTCTCAGGTGACTTTTTCTAAATAGGGCCTTGTCTCCTCCAAAAATCTCAAACTGGTCTTAATGGATAGATGAGTAATTCTTAGGAATTTTCACAGTAATTACACCATCTATAATGAAAAGAAGTGGATATAAATTTCAAGATCTTAGAAATCTGGTTTCTATACTCCTGCCTACTTACTCAAGTACTTATTTATTCCCAGTGATGATACATAATCATTTCTACAATCAATTTTTTCTTTCTATTTAAGGTTATTTTCCTTGTCTTATCTTGAAGAACTTGATGTTTCCTATAATGAACTTACTTTTATTCCAAATGAAATTCAGAAACTCAGGTATTTTGGAAGTACATAGAAAGTTATATGCCCCTTAATTATATATTTAATAATGATTGTGATGGAGAAAATTGAGTCCTTTCGTTTATTTAATAGCCATAAAATGTAATCTATGAAGTACAAAGTTTACCAAACATGTAATTTGAATGATTGGTGTACAGTATTTTTAAGACATAACATTTTCAGGTTTTAAAGAACAGTACAGATGACTACTTAACAGAATGGATAAGCTACTTACGTCCATTTGTCTCTGTGTGTACCTGTGACTCTTACTGTTTCATTTATTTTTTGTAAGGAAATACATATACGCAAAATGCTAATAATACAAAATATAATTTGTGTGCAAAGCTTCAGTTCTAACATTAATAAAACTCTGGTTTACCTATGTCCTTATAGGTCAGTATCATACTGTTTTCATTGTGACTTCAGAATAGTTTTTAATAACTAGTAGGGAGATTATTTTTCAATAATAGTGTCTTAACTGTTCTCTTTAGAACATAATCCTTATGATCATTTTGTGTAATTTCTAGCACATCCAGCAACACACATAATCACAAAGTTAGAATTTTAATTGCAATTGCATAGAGTTTAGTCATAAATTTGGGAGAATTTATATTTTTGATGATAAATTTTTCCACTCTAAAACATTTTTTTCATTTTTTCAGATCTCATTTTATGTTCTTCATAAGAATTTATGAGTCACTTCATATTTTTCCTAATAACCTTTTCTAAGTGTTTTATAATTGTGATTGTTACTATGAATGTAATGTAATATTTCTCTTATTTCCACTTGTTTCTAACTATTTTCAGCACAGAATAGAGAAAAGCTATGTACTTCTTTATATTAACTTAAAACTAATTTATGCAACCAAGTTCTCCTGTTAGTTCTGATTTAGTTTTACTGCATTTTATTTTGTTTCCTAGGAACGTAATGTTCCATTTAGCAGAATGAGATAATTTTACCTCTGCTTTTAAAATATTTAAATCAATTATTTAATTTCCTATGTGAGAATCTCTATATTTTAGTAGGAGAATTCAGCCTGTTCATATTTATTATGACCAACATATTTAATTTTTTGCTTTTCATTTTACTTTGTACTTAGTATTTATTTACTTTCCCCTTTTCCTACCTAGTTTTTTAGGATGCTGTTTATTCTCTTTTTATTAGAGACAGGATCTCACTCTGTCACCCAGGCTGGAGTGCAGTGGCACGATCATAGCTCACTATGGCCTTGAACTCCTGGACTCCCACAATTCTCCTGCCTGAGCCTCCTGAATAGCTGGGACTACAGGTGTACACCACCATGCCTCGCTGATTTTTTTATATTTTGTAGAGATGGGGGTCTCACTGCGTTGCCCAGTCTGGTCTCAAGCTACTGGCCTCAAGTGATCCTACCACCTCTTTTTTTCTATCTTATTAATTTTGGCATTCTATTGTACTTCCCTAATCTGTTAGTGGCGATCTTTCCTTTTCCCAAACTCATAATCAAACACATTTTCTTTAATGTTTTACAAAGGCAAAATAAAAACTACTTCCCCCACCATGATGGTCTATCTCCCCACTGCTGCCGCCTTCTGCTGTTCGTTGAGACCTTTAGAACACTGTTATTTTCCTGCTTTCTTTCCAAACTCATCTTCCCCTTATCCAACTCTAGGCTTTGCTGAAATAGTTTAGAAACTTTTGTTTCAGATTCTCATTAGTATTTTCCTTTGCATCATGTCTCTTTTTATTAAAGAATGTTTATTTAGCACTTAAATCTTACAAGCATTTTAGTTCATTCTCCTTTTATGTTTGTCTGTATGTATTTCAAGACTCATTGTTTACAGCTGTTTGACTCCTTTCCTGTCACCTGGAACCTGGCCGTGTCTCTTTTGATTCATTGGCTGTTTAGCTTTTTTCCTTAAGTATTTTCCTCAGATGGAATCCATAGGTAATTTTTCTCGGAATCTTTAACCCTGACAAATAAATGATGTCCGGAGTGAATGGACAAGCTTGCATTCAGCGTGTTTCACAGTAACCTCCATGATTGTGTCCTCCTCTAGTTCCCAGGGTGCTGGGGAGGCACCTGATGCCAGTTTGATTCTTTTTTCTCCCTAAGTGACTTTTATTCTTAACTGGAAAGACTAAGATTCTCCCATAATCTTTGACCTTTCTGAATTGTATTAGATTATGCTTACAAGTTGTCTTTTTTAAAATCTGTCTTTCCTGGAATTCAGTGAATTATTTTAATCAGCCAGCTCAAACTTCTCTTTTCTGGTTATGTTTAACTATTTCCTCATCTGTTTCATATTTTCTTCCTAAAATGCCTATATTTACATGTTGGATCTCCTAAATCTGTCTTCCATGGTACTAGATTTTTCCTCGTGGTTTTTCTTTCTTTCTTTCTTTTTTTGTTTTGAAATATTTCTTCTACTTTGTCTTTGACTTTAATTTGGATCCCCATGAAGACCATGTTCTTCTTTCATTCATCCACTTAACTTTTTAGTTTTACAAATCATGCATTTTGGTTCCAGAACATCTCTGTGTGTGCTGTATTTGAATCTTGTTTGCCTACCCCCCCTCCCCAACTTTTTATCCATCCCTCCACAGAAGGTGCTTGTCCCAGGACCTTTGCTTTGTATATTCTATGTGTTTTTCTCTTCTGGCCACTCTTTTTTCCATGCAAGTCCAATGGCAGTCACAGAACACCACTCAGAATGCTAAGAAAGTGAGTGGTGGACCAGGAGGAAGCTTCTCTGCACCCCAGGATGCTCAACTGCCAAGGCTGTCTCAACACAGAGCTATTCTAGCTTTAAGGATGGTTTAGCGGCCAGGTGCAGTGGCTCACACCTGTAATCCTAGCACTCTGGGAGGCCAAGGCAGGTGGATTGCCTGATAACCACTAACAGATTAGGGAAGTACAATAGAATGCCAAAATTAATAAGATAGAAAAAAAGAGGTGGTAGGATCACTTGAGGCCAGGAGCTTGAGACCAGACTGGGCAACATAGTGAGACTCCCATCTCTACAAAATATTAAAAAATTAGCGAGGCATGGTGGTATACATCTGAGGTCAGGGGTTCAAGACCAGCCTGGACAACATGGTGAAACCCTGTCTCTACTAAAAATACGAAAATTAGCCAGGCGTGGCAGTAGCGGGCGCCTGTAATCCCAGCTACTTGTGAGACTGAGGCAAGAGAATCACTTGAACCCAGGGGGCAGAGGTTGCAGTGAGCCAAGATCAGGCCACTTCACTCCAGCCTGGGCAACAGATTGAGACTCCATCTCAAAAACAAAACAAAACAGAAAAAAATAAGTTTAGTCTCCCCCTAACTCTCTTAGAACTCATTGAGGGGAAGGAGGCAGCTAAACGGGTATGTCCTCCAAGGTAGACCAACTCAGACAGGGAGAGCCTCACCATGGCTGTTCTGGTGAGCCGTGGTGAAGCTTCACTAGCATTTGCCTAGGGTGTGCCACGCTCATTGTGATTGTCCACTTAGAGTTTGTATTTCTCAGCTTGGGCTACTATAACAAAATACTATAGGCTGGGAAGTTATAAAAACCAGAAATTTATTTCCCACAGGCTGGGAAGTCCAATATCAAGGCCCCAGCTGATGTGGTGTCTGGTGACAGCCCCCTTCCTCATAGATAGCCATCTTCTCACTCTAACCTCACATGACAGAAGGGGTGAGGGGTCTCTCAATCTCTTTTATAAGGGCACTAATCTCACTTATGAGGGCTCCCACCCTGACCTAGTCACCTCCTAAAGGCCCCACCTCCAAATACCATCAACTTAAGGTGAAGATTTCAACATTTAAATTTTGAGGGGACAGAAACATTCAGACCAGAGTAGGACTCTCTCCTGCTGGCCCCTAGGCTTGTGATTTGTGCAGAAGAAAAAGGTGGCCATGCCAGCTCTCTCAGGACTGTGGCAGAGTCCAGGATCTTGCTCACCTTTTTCGGACCATGAGAGGTGAATTAGTCAAACTCTGGTTGAGGGATGAAGAGAGCTGAGGTGCCATCTTCCTAGCCTCATTGTTTTAAATATCCTTGTTGATCACATTTTAATGTTATCAGCAGGAGTCATAAATAAGTTACACTGTGTGGATATAAGATGTGAAACTAGACTGTAAATGAGAATCTAGAGGCCCTCAGCAATTTGTTTCCTAAAGTTCATATATCAGCCTTTTCACCTCTAATACGTTTGACAAGTTGGACCAGCCTTCGATTTGATTTTGATGGGTCTCTCATGAATAGACTCTTTTCTGTCTGCTTCTAGGACTAATTAGAAAGGAGATACATGACTGTACAAAAATACCATTGAGGCAAATGAAAATAAGAAAATCAGTAATGTTGGCTCTGTTTGAATAAAGAATAAGGGTTATTAGAAGTAATTGACACAGAAAAAACCCAGAGGACCCAGTTAATGAAAAGTTAAAGCACAAAATAGCACATAATATGTTTTGATAGCATAAATTTCACAATTTGATTGGGCTTGAATGAAAAAATATATATGTATTGATGTTTAATTTGTCTATGAAAATATATTCTGTGAATCATACTATACTATATTTTATGTAATATGACATTGATTAGTCTTGTGTTTGTGGATATTTTTTGTTCCATAGTGATGACATATTGCAAAAATCCAAACTATATACTTAAACTGTGCTATTCGCTCAAATGCACTTATTTGCATAATACTATATTGGTTCAGTTGCTTTAGAAGTTAATTCTATTGATTCTAAAGAATTACTTAAATTCATACTTGTGTTTTATTGGTACTAGGTTTGATGCCAATTTTTAAGAACGATTGAGGCAGAATTTTACTTTAATATTATGAATTGTGTAATACCTTTAAAGTATGGTGTCCTTTATTTACAGATCACTTGAAAGACTGACCGTTGATGGGAATGAGCTGTATTTTTTCCCACATGGAATTTTGAAGCTTAACCTGACAAAAATTCAGTTTGAGAATAATTTCACTCATCCTTGTTTTTGGAGAGAGAATTCTTTGAATAATCCACAACAACTTACTCAAATTATTTCTTTGTTCATTGTCCAAAATAAACTACATGAATTTTATGATAAGATCCCAGTAGAAGTTCAGAAGTTACTAAACTGGTGAGCAAATGCTGAAGCCCTTTTAACCAAAATATATCTTTAAGCATTTAAAACGTTCTTCCTTACAGGCTTAGATGACAGTGTCACTAACACGCACACGTACTCCATGACACACACAAAACCATACACACAATTCTTCACATCGCTCCACCCAGTTCTTCAGGTATAATAATGTAGTCTGAATCCGACCCCATTGTGTGATATTCTCAAGTTGTTACTTAAATCCAGTGTGAAATGTGAGTTGTCTATATGGCTGTTGCATAAATCTTTTCTATGAATTTCTGAGTTCATAGAAGTGGATTCTTCCAAAAAAATTACTTGGCTCCAGGCACACTATTCTGGGAGGTGTTTCACTCCACTGTGACGTCATGGAGACCAGGAATAGAGCAGGCATGCATGGAGTAACCTCCCTCACGGTATCAATGACCAGCGTTGGAATCATTGCCTAATCTCAAGACCAGGGGACTTAAACTCCCACAACCTTACAGTCCACTTAGGCTTGTCGCTTACTTTCTTCAGACGGTAGAAGACCACTTTTATTGAATTACTGGCCATCAGTGCTTAGGTTATTAATTTAACAAATATTTGCTATATGCCTAAGTAAAATGGCTTCCCAGGCATATATAAATTATAAACATTGACTCAATAAAAGGCAGGAAACCTAAACAGCCTAGTAACTATTGAAGAAATTGAACAGTGGTTAAAAATCTACCAATGAAAAAGGAACTAGGCCCAGAAGGTTTTGATTTTCATGTATTAAGATGTCAATATTAGTGAATGCACATGAGAAAGTAAGAAAAATCACAAAGGCAGTAATTTTTTTGAAGAATTATAACCTAACTTGTGTGTGGTAAACAGATATGGGATCATGAGATTTGGATTCACCACAAGGTACTTGGGAAGCTGAATTTGAGATTCCTGAATTAAATGTGGACTCCAAAAGAGGCTTAATGGTCCCAGAGCAGTGAACTAACTCTCCCAGCAGAAAAAAATGTTTTTGAGAGAGACATCCTCCATTTAGACTGTAAACGTTCCAGAAAATTATGTTCAAATGAATATTAGCTCACAGCTTAAAGAAATTTCCAAATATATGAGGAAACAAGCCACCAAGAAAAAAGCCAAACAATCAAACAGATACTAATTTCCAAGGACCTAGGATGTTAGTATTGCAACTGTGACCAGAAAAACATGAGAAAGAAATGTTAAGTAAAATGAAATTCTAGAAACTAAAAAATAATAGTTAACATTAACTCAATGCGTGAGTTAAACAGCAGATTATATACACATGAAGAGAGATCTGAAGAAATTATAGTAAATATGCAGACAGGAGGTAAAGAGATTGGAGAAAAAAGGACAAGATTTAACATACACTTACAGACCCAGAAAGTGAGAACAGAGAGAATGGTGGGAGTCATTATTCAATGAGATATTGGCTACGGATTCTTAGAAGTAAAAGATGTGAATTCACAGACATCATCGGGAGCTCTATAAAAGCTAAGTAAAATACCTTGTGGTAAAACTGAAGAACCCCAAAAACAAAGATAAGAACCTAAAATCAGCCAGGAAAAAAAAAAAATCACAAAAAACAACAAATCAACTGCCAGCAACAGTGGACCAGTGACTGGAAAAAAATATTATTTTGCCCAGCAAAGCTTTCAAGAACAAGAGAAAACATGGTATTTTTATATAAACCAAAACAGAATTTGCTCCCAATAAATTTTCACCAAAGGAAGTTGCAAAGGGTGTACATCGACAAAAGAAAAATGATTCCGGAAGCAAGTTCTGAGAGGCAAGAAGGAATGGTGAGAAAAGCAGTTGGAAAATATGTAGGTAAACAAACATGATCTCTATGAAATCCTAATAACAAATACGGGGTTTAAAAAATATAACTAAAACCAGACATCAAACAGAAATATAATTTTTAAAAGATACTTTTTATGATAGGAAGAAACAAACCTAATGTATAAATATATTAAGTGAAAAATGTGCGAAACATTATGGAAAAAAAGCTAAATCTTTATAAAATAGTGAAGGCTGAATTAAATGGAAGAGATATAGATACTTAGGGATAATAAGATTCAGTACTAAAAACACATGTTATTCCCAAATAGAGCTATAAATTCAATGCAATTCTGGTGAAGATGCCAATAGAATGTTCTCAGAAACTTGATAAGCTTATTCTAAAATGTATATGGAAAAGCAGAGGCTCCAAAATAGCCAAAAGAAACCTGAAAAAGAGGCCGGGCGCGGTGGCTCAAGCCTGTAATCCCAGCACTTTGGGAGGCCGAGACGGGCGGATCACAAGGTCAGGAGATCGAGACCATCCTGGCTAACATGGTGAAACCCCGTCTCTACTAAAAAATATACAAAAAACTAGCCGGCGAGGTGGCGGGCGCCTGTAGTCCCAGCTACTTGGGAGGCTGAGGCAGGAGAATGGCATAAACCTGGGAGGCGGAGCTTGCAGTGAGCTGAGATCCAGCCACTGCACTCCAGTCTGGGTGACAGAGCGAGACTCCGTCTCAAAAAAAACAAAAAACAAACAAGAAACCTGAAAAAGAAGCCTAACATAAGAGGCTTGCCCACCAGACATCAAGACTTACTACAAAGTTAGAGAAGGCAATAAAGGTTGGTATTAAGTTCAAGGAAATACAAACCAACCAATGGAAGAGAAAACAGCCCAGTTATTTTGTTCTGATGCATGTGGGAAAACTTGACATTTGACAGAATAGCCCTGTGGATCAGTAGTGAAAGAATAGACTTTTGAATAAATGATGCTGAGACATTTGGTCATCCACAAGGAAAAAACAATAAAATCAGATTCCTGCTATATATATAGCACCATCAGACACACACACAAAAAATCATTTCCATTTTGATTAAAGATTTAAATATGAAAAGCAAAACTTTAAAGCTTTTACAAGCAAGTGCAGAAGGCTCTCTATGACTTCATGGTAGGCAGACATATCTTAAACGCAATGCAAAAAATATAAACAGTAAAGCAAAGTTTTATAAATTTGACAAAAGTAATATTTACATAAATATAAGATACTATCAATGAAATTAAAAGACAAGCCATTAACTGGAAGAAGATATTGCAATGCTTAAAATAGTTGAATAATATATATATTATTACTATATATATACACACACACACACACACATATAAAGAGAGAGAGAGAGAGAGAGTAGTCATATCTTATCCTTGGGAGATGCATTCCAAGACCTCCAGTGGATGCCTGAAACCATGGGTAGCACTGAACCTTATATACATTGTGCTTTTCTATACATGCATATCTATGATAAATTTTAATTTATAGGGGTGGTGGCGCCTGAGGTCACCATGGCTACCAAGCGTGAAACCGCAGAGCCAGTGATACCTTTGCTTGTGGATCGATACTTCATTCGCTGGTACAAATCAGATGTCAAAGGAAAATCTTGTGAGGACCACTGTATACCACAGCACTCTAACCGAATATGTGTCACCACATTGGCAGAATCTCATCCAGTTCTTCAAAGTGGAAAAACAATTAAAAGCATTCCCTGTCAGATCAGTACCAACTGTAGCAGACTTCAGAACAAGGTCTCTGGGAAATTTAAGCGGGGGGCACAGTTTCTAACAGAACTTGCACCTCTCTGTAAGATCTACTGTTCAGATGGCGAAGCATATACTGTATCTAGTTGTGTTAGAGGATGTTCGATGGAAGTGAATGAAAACATTCTCCATAAGCCATCTATTCTTCAAGAAAAGCCATCCACTGAAGGCTACATTGCAGTTGAGTTACCCGAATTTGAAGAAAGTAAAAACATAACAGAAGGGTTACTGACACAAAAACAGTATGAAGAAGTCATGGTGAAAATGCATTAATGCCATGCATCAACGTCACGAGGACTGACATGGAGCAAAAAGCAAAGCGGGATTCTTGTTACCTGGCCTAAACCATCAGTGCATGAAAGGAGAACCAGTATATGTGAAGCATACTTCACAGCCATACGCCGGGGAGGCCTAGTGCTTCACTGAACTTCGTTTTCCCTCTCTGGCCTTCGTAATGAGCCCTGGTTCCCATTTGTCTTCAGCCTGCCAGGTCTGGCCTGCCCTTGTACTCACCCTGTTCTCTTTCATCTCTCTAACAACTGGCGTGCAAGGAATGTTTTTCTGATTAAAAAACAAGCAAACAAAGCTCTCTGAAGAAAATTTAGAAAATATAGGAAGTTTTAAGTAGCCAAGTAAAAATAATTTACTCATTATCTCATAATCCAGCAGTAAGTACATTTGACCCTTGAACAACATAGGTTTGAACTGTGAGAGGGAACCACAAACGAATCAAAAATGTATCATTAACCAAACACAAAACCCACTTATAGAGCAGGCTGACTTTTCATATACTCAGTTTCCAGAGGACCAACTGCAGGACTTGAGTTATGTGTGGATTTGGGTATATGTGGAAGGTCCTGGAACAAATCGCCCATGTAAACCAAGGGATAACTGTACTACATTTTAACTACTTCTGTTTGAACATTATAGTATGGTTATTGCTTTTGCCTCATTGTCCTATTTGAAGTTTGAAAAAACCTAACCCACCTTTCTTACCCAATCTGCTATATAATGTGACTACCAAAAAGTCTAGTCCCAGCCCATCTGCCTCAACACCTCTCCCTTTTAGGTTGTAGGGAAGAGACCAGAGTGCAGACTATATCTTCTGCCCTCCTTATGCCAACAAGATGGCCTTCCCCTCTGAAACAAAGTAAAACTGCAACACTGTGACTGCTGAAATGAGGGACATGGGAAAAGGCTCTGAAAAATACAACAGCTTTCCTAGGAAATGTATTATAATGTAGTGGGAAGCTAATTCTTGAAATATGCATATTGTAGTCACTCAGTCTCACATACTCTAGTTACCAGCAAATAAGTTACTGAGAATATGTCATGCAAAGGCATGGAAGCTTTTGAAAGGAACAAATGCTTTCACATCATTTAAACTAAAAAAAAAAAAAAAAAAAAAACCCTCCAACAACTATGATTTTATAGTTTAAGATCGATTTACACTGAATTTCAAATAAAAGGACTATAAAACTTGTCATTTTTCTGTAAGGGCTGTAACACATAAATACATTTCAATATCCCTGTTTTTAAATAAAACATACATTTATACAGAAAAAAAGTTTATAAATTAGGCACAGTAAGAGATAACTAATAATAACAATAATAACTAATAAAATAACTAATAATAAAATAGGACAATTATAACAGTATGCCAGTATCACTACTGTTGCTCTTTGGGGCAATTATTAAGTAAAATAAAGGTTACCTAAACAAGTACTGCAGTACCACAACAGTTGATTTGATAACTCAGAGGGCAACAATGGGTAGAGTCTACAATGTGGATACATTGGACAAAGAGATACAATTCCTGTCCCAGGTGGGCAATTTAAAACTTACAAATTGCTTATTTATGGGATTTTTCATTTATTATTTTTGGACTACAGTTGGTAACTGAAACTGTGGAAAGCAACACCTTAGATAAGAGGACACTACTGTATATCTTTCATAAATCAATAAGAAAAGATATAAACCATAGACAAGTAGATAAGTGATAGGAATGTGAAATTCATGGATGACAATACACAGGTAATAAACATGAAGAATGTGAAATCTCACTAGTAATCAAGAAACTGCAATGTAAAATAGCAACAAGCTTTTTTTAACCTACCTATTTTATCAAAATTTACAAGATTGATATTGTGCTAGCTTTGGATGACCGAAAATATGACTATCATCATGTATCATTGTTGGTACTATAAATTGGTGAAAGCTTCTTGGAAGGCAATTTGACAGTTTCTTAGTCTTTAAAATAGCACCTTAAATCTTAGGAATCTGTCTTACAGAAATAGTTACATGTAAACACAAAGTTAGATACGCGGATTATAACTGCAGCCTAAAACTGCATCAGTCAGAGAGTGGTAAAATAACTTATGGCATATTCATACTATAAAACATTATGATGCTATTAATAAGAATGAAGTTTTATTCTTAGGTTTTGACTTGGAAATGCTGTCCAAGTCAAAAAAATGTTTTGACTTGGAAAGTTGTCCAAGACATTTCATTAAACTCTCCAAGTCAAAAAAATGTTTTGACTTGGAAAGTTGTCCAAGATATTTCATTAAATTAAAAAAGGAAGTTATTCCCACAGACACATACATACAGAGTGAGGGAGCACACATGTGAGAAAGATTCCATTTATGTAAGAAACAGTTACGTATCTAGGAGCTGGAGGGGGCAACCCAAGCCAAGAGCTTTAGTTATTCTAGGGAGAGGAGTTGCAGTGACTGAAGAGAGGAATAAGCAGGAATCTCTGTGTTTTTCTCTATATATCTATATTGTTTGGAAATTTTACAAGGACTCATTTTCATGTAAATAAAAACTGACACAAGTGAATTATAAATAAAAGCAGCTGGAGGAGGAGCTAATGACAAATAGTTGGGGACACAGGGGAAAGATACAGGGATGAAATAGTATTTGAGAAGGGTCTTGAAGGACCAGTAAAATTTGGAACTATGTCTTGTGTTCAAGGGACATTCCAGAAAGAGGAAACAAAATGGGAAGAGGGATGTGGACAAAGAGAAACATGAATATTTAGCCAGAACAAAACATCCATAAAGAGTAGTGGGCCGGGCACGGTGGCTCACACCTGTAATCCTAGCACTTTGGGAGGCTGAGGCGGGCAGATCATGAGGTCAGGAGATCGAGACCATCCTGGCGAATGTGGTAAACCCCGTCTCTACTAAAAATACAAAAAATTAGCCAGGCATGGTGGCACATGCCTGCAGTCCCAGCTACTCCGGAGGCTAAGGCAGGAGAATCAGTTGAACCCAGGAGGCGGAGGTTGCAGTGAGCCGAGATTGTGCCACTGCACTTCAGCCTGGGCAACAGAGTGAGAATCTGCCTCAAAAAACAAAACAAAACAAAACAAAACAAAACAAAAAAAAAAAACAGTAGTGGTGACCAGGCATGGTGGCTCACACCTGTAATCCCAACACTTTAGGAGGTGGAGGCAGGTTGATCACCTGAGGTCAGGAGTTCAAGAACAGCCTGGCCAACATGGCAAAACCTTGTCTCTACTGAAAATACAGAAGTTAGCTGGGCGTGGTGGCACATGCCTGTAATCCCAGCTACTTGGGAGGCTGAGACAGGAGAATCACTTGAACCCAGGAGGCAGAGGTTGCAGTGAGCTGAGATCATTCCACTGGACTCCAGCCTGGGCGACAGAGCAAGACTCCATTTCATAAAAAAATAAAGACGGAGAAGAAATAAATAGAGTTAGCTAGCTGTCCATTAGAGATCACTGAATGCATTGGAAGTTTCTTCTTCAGGCCTTGAGAGTCACTGAGTCCAAATAGTACAAATAGACCTGGCAGTATGTCAAAGATGGACTAGTGCAGGGCAAGCTGGGTGGAGGTCAGTTAAAACACTCATGTCCATAACAGGTAAGGAGGGACTGATCCAGAGTAATAAGCAAGGGTATGTACAGGTGGGAAATGCAACAAGACAAACTATGGAGGTAAAATTAACATACTTGGTATGTGGGCCAAGTGAGAAAGGGAGGATGAAAAATGACTACGGGTTCAATCTCATCATAGACGACTGTGATATTAGTAAAAATAAGAACAGTGAGGGAGGGATTTGTCACCCAACCACTGTCATCCTCCAATGTCTACCCTTGGCTTTAATCCTGAATTTCTAACTACTGAAAATTTCGGTACTGTCCTACTTTTGCTGAGTTCTTTGGATTGCGGCTCAGCTGTGGGCTTGCACTAAAGTCACTCTAAGCTCAGCTACTGCTCTCACTTCAATGGCTGCCCTCTCAATTAGCAGCTATGTATGTCATTTTTGTCCTGTACAACTTATCATTGCTGTCTGCCTCTCTCTGTCTCTCTACCCACATTGTATCACCTCAGACAGAGAATCCACTTCCATTGAGAATGGGGTGAGAAGACTTCCTAGTGCATTCGAATGATAGAAATTTTTGTTTGTTTTTATTTTTTCTTTTATTTTTAGTTGGCATATAATTATACATATTTATAACATACAGGGTGATATTTCAATACATGTATTTAGTATGTAATGTTAAATCAGCTTAATATATCTATCACCTTATTTATCATTTCTTTGTGTTGTTAACATTTAAAATCTTCTAGCTTTTTGAAAATACACAATAATTTATTGTTAACTATTTTCACCTACAGTGCTATAGAACACTAAAACTCCCATCTACCTGTGATTTTTTTTCCATTTTTAACCTCTCCTATCCTCCTCTTCCTCTTACCCTTCCCAGCCTCTAATAACCACAATTCCACTCTCTACTTCCATGAGCTCAATTTGTGTTTAGTTTCCACATGTGAGTGCCTTTCTGTGCCTGACTTACTTCACTTAACATAGTGTCCTCTAGGATCATCCCTGTTGCCACAAATGACAAGCTTTTATTCTTTTTAAAGCTGAATAGTATTCCAGTGTATGTATATGCCACATTTTCTTTATCTATTCATCTGTTGGTAAACATTTAGGTCAATTCTGTGTCTTGGCGATTGTGAATAGTGCTGCAATAAATATGGGGGTGCAGATGTCCCTTCAATATACTGATCTCCTTTGCTTTGGATAAATACCCAGTAATGAGATTGCTGGATAGTAAGTTAGTTTTATTTTTAGTTTTTTGAGAAACCTCCATACTCCATTATGACGGCTGTACTAATTTACATTTACCACTGAAAGTGTGTGAAAGTTGCTTCTTTTCTGCATCTTTACCAGCATTTTTTACTTTTTATCTTTTTGATAATAGCCATTCCCACTGGGGCAAGATATCTTATTATGGTTTTTATTTGCGTTTCCCTAAATATTCGTGATGTTGAGCATTTTTTCATATACTTATTGGCCAATTTATATGTCTTCTTTTGAAAATATCTATTCTTTGATCATTTTAACATCAGATTGGTTCTCTTTTTTTTTTTTTTGCCGTTGAATTAAGTTCCTCATATATTCATTAGTGCCTTGTCAGATGAATACTTTGCAAATATTTACTCCCATTCCGTAGGTTGTTGATTCTGTTGATTTTTCCTTAATAGTGCAGAAGGTGTTTAATTTGAGATTAGTCCCATTTGTCTATTTTTATTTTTGTTGCTTAAGCTTTTCAAGTCTTAACCATAAAATCTTTGCCTAGGTCAATGTCCTGAAGCATTTCCCCTGTGTTTTCTTCTAATGGTTTTATAGTTTGTTTAAATACTTAAACATATTCTTATAATCTAATGGTTGTGAAATGGTATTTCTTTGCTAATTTATTTTGTATTCCCCGATTACTAGGGAGATTGAGAAGCTTTACCTATGTTCTCTTGATATTCATTTTTTTCTTCTGTGAATAGTCTATTCCTGTACTGTTAATGTACTAATGGATTAATATTTTGTAACTGATTTCTAACCATTTAAAAATACATTATGGACTCTAATTCTATACTGGGTTATGATAGTACCTTTTTTTAATGATATATTTATTTTGTATCATAAAAAATTACATGTTTATTATAAAAAATTAGAAAATAAACACATTATTAAGAAACGTAAAATCCCCTGTGATCACATTTCCCAAGAATAATAACTATTTTCAATTTGGGATCTATCATTAGAGTTTTTTCTTGTTATGCATATATACTTTTTTGTTTTAAAAAGCTAGGATTGAATTATAAATATATCTACTGTATTGTTTACGTCTTTTAGCATTTAGTCTTTCACTTAAGGGGTAGCACTCATCTAGGTGGTAAGCTCAATGAAGATAAGGGCTGTATTTTATACTGTTTAGAGTCTTGCGTAGCACAGAGTCTTTAGTAAAAATGTATTAAATATTGACTTGCTGTTTCCTACATTTCAGCACATCCAGGTGTGAATGGTGTCATGGTCCCAAGTTTGGTGAAGGTTTTCGTGTCATCCGATCCTGTGATATTTTTGGAGCATCACAGCTTCCAGTTATGTTTCATGTCTGTTCTTCTTCTTGCTATAGAAGAATAAAGGAAAGCAGTTTTATTTTAGATGGTAGTCCTAGTAGAAGAATAGCTCTAGATGTGGAGTTGTCAAAAGAATTATAGTACAATGATTTATCATATGTATATATAAACTTTACTGGCTTTTACTACATATATGTCTACATATAGTAATTCATCTCTTTGAAAGTAGAGGTTCTGTTTGGAAGATATAAGTGTCTTCTCATATGAATTATCTTTGTAATTCTAACTCCTTATGAAAGTTTGTGATTGTTAGGGAATTGTTGCAGAATAATTACTCAAGGAGGATTAGTAAAGCCTTTAGATTTGAATACAGATCTAGAAAATTTCTTTCAGAGCCTGTTTACTATAAAAGGAAAAATGTTAGAATCCTTTGCAAAATGGGTTATATCTTACAACTAGTCTTTTCATGCATCCATACTAAGTGACAAGATAGCATTGCAGAGTCATCAGTGGGGTTTGTGCTGCATACAGCTTCAACGTCACACATCCAAGTGCTCAATGCTTGTGCATTTCTGCGGAAATCTGACCAGTGCCTACCATCTCAATTGTAGGTTGTTTGGGGGAATAAAAGATTAATTCTATCCCCAATTGTTTGTTTAAATTAATTTCCCAGGTTCTTAGAGAACTGGTACAGTCTTGAATTGTTACCTTGCACTTCATTTCCTAAAGCTGAGAAACTGGACATTAGCCTGATTCTGTAGGCTAGCACCAGCATCTACCAAGGCCTACAGTGATAGCCCGACAGGAAAATAAAATACAACTTACAAAATAACATTGCAAAGCAGAATTTGCATACAGTAAAACTTCCTTTAAGAATTAACGTTTGGTAAGAGAAAGATAAAAGGGCATTTTGATATACAAACAACTTTACAATGGCATAGAATTATTTCACGTATCTTTTACACGCAGCTCACTTAAATCTCAAATATCATTGCTAATTAAATTTCGTGATATGAAATGATTTAAATTTACACAGCTCTCTTATCATTAATGTCAGAAAAATACATTATGTCATGTTTGTGTGTATCTTTTAGTGATATCATTTAAATAAAGATAAATCAGGCAAAATAATTTTTCTATTGATTTCAATAAATCGCGATGCTTACATGCTTTTCCTTGAGACTTTGTTTCATTTTTCAGCAGAATCAGGTAAACTTTGCTTTGCTTGATAAATATACACTGTATTCTCCAGGGTAAGAATAAAATTATTTATAATGAAAGAAGTAACTACCATATTACACATGTATACAGAAAGGGATATTTATAGTATGATAAATTAATTCATTAAAATGTAATATACTCATAATTAGAAAACAAGATGAAGAAAATAATACTAACTCCCTGTGGCATATAGCTTATTAATACCCTTGTTCCTCAAATATTTCTTGGGGAAGAAATATGTTATTTATTTATTCAAAACATGTTGAGTTTTGGTTTAACTGAGTAGTTTCACATTGAAATAGGAAATAAAAAAAGAATAGCTTTCAAGGGAAATGACAAATTCTGAGGGATGTTTCAAAACTAAATATACCTAGATACTTAGACAAATATGAAATATACCTAGAACCCAATCTCTTTATGCTTAGTATAAACCTTGAATCTGAGTGATCTCTTATAGATCTTCCAAAAAAGTAACTTACAGTATTTTTTAATGAAAGTAAGACATATTTATTATAGTGTAGCAGGACAAGCCACAGACAAAACTCAGACACCAATCATCTCGCTTCCCGGTCAGGGAACCAAGAAATGTAGCAGAAGGAGGCGCAGAGAGAACTCCTCAGACACCGAAATAAAGAAGGAAGGGGTTTATTCGGCCGGGGGCATCGGCAAGACTTCTGTCTCAAGAGCCGAGCTCCCCGAGTGAGCAATTCCTGTCCCTTTTAAGGGCTCACAACTCTAAGGGGGTGCACATGAGAGGGTCATGATTGATTGAGCAAGCCGGGGTACGGTGACTGGGGGCTGTATGCACTGATAATTAGATCAGAACAAAACAAGATAGGGATTTTCACAGTGCATTTCTATACAATGTCTGTAATCTGTAGATAACATAACCTGTTAGGTCAGGGGTCGATCTTTACTACCAGGCCCAGGGTGCGGCGCCGAGCTGTCTGCCTGTGGATTTCATTTCTGCCTTTTAGTTTTTACTTCTTTCTTTGGAGGCAGAAATTGGGCATAAGATAATATGAGGGGTGGTCTCCTCCCTTAATAGAAATATTAGAAAATACAACTAAACCTAAGAAGAAAACAAAATCCTCCTTGTAATGCCTCTGTAACTCAGGTTCAGTCATCCACTGCTTGCAGAGTCTGAATAACAAGAGCAAGGTCTGATGGAAAAAAAAAAAGTGACTTAATTCAAGAGCTACCCGAGGGGAAGTAGTACAGGCTCCTGCCTTGAGATACCACTTCAGCCTTCAGGGCAGAAGACAAGGGCTTTTAAATGGGGGTGGGGAGGAGGGGAGGAGGTGTGGGGTCTGCGTGACATGTTTAAGATGTCTTATCTATCATGTGGTCTGGTTGGTGCCATGGCAGGCAGCTATGTTGTAAATTGAGGCAATCTCCTAGTGGGTGAGAGTTCCAGAGGGGCCTGATTTGCTTCAAGTTTTGGTCTCTGGAGCTTCTAAGTAAACACATAGATAAGCTTGCCACACCTGATGGGATGGAGAGAAGGTAAAGGTTATAATTGCATTCCTAAAGAGCTAGGTAGGAACTAGGGGAAAAGGAAAAATAAAAAAAAATCATTTTTTCCTTTTAAAAATGGGGTACTCGGCTACGCCACCACCCAATGAAAGCCAGAGATAATCATCTCAACATGTGTATGTGTGTATACACACATTTATATAATGTATTGCTCTTTTTTAAAAATTGGGATTATCTGCCTCGCACCACACCAAAGATTAATTTCCAATTTTAGACCTAAAGGTCTAAGTTGAAAGCATGAAAATAAATAACTATGGTCTTTAAAAAATCAGATTTAGATTTTTTTTTAAGTGGGTAATGAAACCTCAAAGAAAAGATGAACAAATTTACCATGTAAAAATTTTTTAAATGTCTGTCGAGCAAAAATAACCAAAAATATAGACAAGCAGCACACTGGGGAAAATATCTATAGTATATATGACCAGCAAAGAATGAGATTTTCAACAACAACAACTACTATATATTTATATATGTTGTGCATGTGCCTCCTGGCACACAACTCATTCAGGACTCAAATTGTGTCATCAAGGCATTATCTATTTTTCTGTCTAATCTAGCTCACTCTATCTATCTATCCATCATCTATCATCTATCTCTTACCAATACTTTCTAAAAATTTTGTCTCATATCCAAGTAATATGGATGGCCGCTAATCATTCCAGGTTCATGTACAAGAATCTCAGGAACCTCAGAGGAAAACACACTATCTATCCCAACTGTTACTGTAAAATACATTAGGGATGATTTTCATTGGCTCAACCTGGGTCATGAATCCAAACAAATCATTGGAGTTTCATGGATGGCATACCCTGGCCAGGCCTGAGTCACATGCCCATCTCTGGAACTAGGTAAGGCAGAATTAGCCCCTCCCAAAACATGCTAATTAGATTCTCCACAAGAAAGAAAAATTCTAGAACTGAAAATTAGGGGAAGAAAAAGTGTTTTGGGCAGCTAAAACTGGAACTGTCAGAGACCTCTAAACTTCCTAACATCCAATTAGCTGTTACAAGTAACAGTAACAACAAAAAGGTGAGCTTAATATTTATATAGCTATAACAATCAAAATTTAATTTTTTTTTTTTTTTTTTGAGACAGAGTTTCGCTCTTGTTGCCCAGGCTGGAGTGCAATGATGTGGCCGGTGTCCAGATCAGTGCAATGATTGTTTTGATTGTTGTGATGTGTGTTTTTTATGATTATGTTATTGTTGCATCTTCTCATATATTTGCGTGGTTTGGAGAAGGTCTTTTTGAATATCCACAACAACTTACTCAAATTATTTCTTTGCATTCATTGTCTTAAAACCCAAACACCATGAATTACACTATAAGTAGATCCCAGTAGAAGTTCAAATTTACTAAACTGGTGAGCAAATGCTGAAGCCCTTTTAACCAAAATATATCTTTAAGCATTTAAAACGTTCTTCCTTACAGGCTTAGATGACAGTGTCACTAACACCTTTACTCCATGACACCTACGAAACCATACCCACACACAATTCTTCCCATCACTCCCACCCCACAGTGATTCTTTCAAATTATAATAATGTAATCACAGATCAAACCCATTGTATGATATTCTCAAGTTGTTACTTAAATCCAGTGTGAAATGTGAGTTGTCTGTAGCTGTTACTTAAATCTTTTCTGTTCCAGGTTCATAGAAATTTGGATTCTTCCAAAAAAGGCCACTTGGCTCCAGGCACACTATTCTGGGGAGGTGTTTCATCTCACTGTGACGTCATGGAGACCAGGAATAGAAACGAGCATGCATGGGTAACACTCCCTCACGGTATCAATGACCATGGTGGAATCATTGCTAATCTCAAGACCAGGGGACTTAAACTCCCCAACCTTGATCCCTTAGGCCCCATGGCTTGCCTTTTCTTCAGACCAGTGAAGACCACTTTTATTGAATTGCACCTGGCCATCAGTGCTTGGGTTATTAATTGCTCAAATATTTGCTATATGCCTAAGTAAATGAAGCTTCCCCAGGCATATATCACTAAATTATAAACACATTGACTCAATAAAAGGCAGGAAACTGGCAGCCTAGTAACTATTGAAAATTGAGCAGTGGTTAAAAATCTACAATGAAAAGGCTGAAACCCGAAGGTTTGATTTCATGTATTAAGATAACAATATTAGTGATACACATGAAAAGCCAAGAAAAATCACAAAGAAGGCAGTAATTTTTGGGTATAACCTAACATTGTAGTAAACAGATAGGATCATGAGATTTATGGTTCTACCACAAATTGCCCAGGAAGCTGGTTGAAGAATTCTAGATTAAATGTGGACTCAAAGGAAGCAATGGTCCAAGAAGCATTTGAACTAACTCTCCCAGCAGAAAAATGTTTTGAGAGGAGCAATCTATCCATTTAGACTGTAAGCGTTCAGAAAATTATGTTCAAATAAGATAATGACTCAAGCTCCACAGCAAAAAAAAGAGAATTTCCAAATGCTGTGAAGAAGTAAACCACAAGAAAAAAAAAAGCCAAACAATCAAACTAGATAAACTGAGGACCTAGGATGTTAGTATTACCACAACTCTATGACTTCCAGAAAAACATGAGGAAAAGAAATGTTAAAGTAAAATGAAATTCTAGAAACTAAAATAGCCAGTTAACATTAACTCAATAGTGAGTTAAACAGCAGATTATATACACATGAGAGAGATCTGAAGAAGAGAAGAAATTATAAAGTAATGTGAACCAGGAGTAAAGAGTTGGAGAAAAAAGGATAGGGTTACAACATACACTTACAGACCCAGAAAAGTGAGAACAGAGAGAATGGTGAAGATCATTATTCAATGAGATAATGACTCACACATGAAAGTTCTTAGAAGTAAAAGATGTGAATTTACAGACATCATCTGGGAGCTCTATAAAGCTAAGTAAAATACATATTGGTAAAACCCCAGAGAACCCCAAAAACAAAGATAAGAACCTGGAAATAGCCAGGAAAAAAAAAAATCACAAAAAACAACAAATCAACTGCAGCAACAGTGGACCAGTGACTGGAAAAATATTATTTGCCAGCAAGCTTTCAAGAACAGAAAGCATGGTATTTTTATAAACCAAAACAGAATTTGCTCCCAATAAATTTTCACCAAAGGAAGTTGCAAAGGGTGTACATGTGTTGACAAAAGAAAATGATTGGAAGCAAGTTCTGAGAGGCAAGAAGGAATGGGTAGAAAAGCAGTTGGAAAAATATGGAGTAAACAAACATGATCTCTATAAATCCTAACAAATACAGGATTTAAAAATACTTAACTAAAACCAGACATCAAACAGAAATATAATTTTAAAAGATACTTTTATGATAGGAAAACAAACCTAATGTATAAATATATTAGAAGTGGCGAAAAATGTGAAACATTATGCAGCCAGGCTGGTTGGTCTTTATAAAATAGTGAGGCTGATTAAATGGAAGAGATATAGATGCTTAGGGATAGCCAAGATTCCCAGTATTACTAAAAACACATGTTATTTAAATAAGAGCTATAAATTCAGTACAATTCTGGTGAAGATGCCAATAGATGTTCTCAGAAACTTGTTAAACATTCTAAAATGTATATGGAAAAGCAGAGGCTCCAAAATGGCAAAGAAACCTACAAAAAGAGGCCGGGCGCGGTGGCTCAAGCCTGCTGATCCCAGCACTTTGCAGGAGGCCGGGGAGCCGGGCGGATCACAAGGTCAAGGAGATCAAAGACCATCCTACATGCTTTGCGGTGAAACACGTCTACTACAAAAATATACAAAAAACTGGCAGCGAGGTGGCGGCGCTACAATCCCAGCTTGGGAGGCTGAGGCCGGGGAGAATGGCATAAGCCTGGGAGGCGGGCTGCAGTGAGCTGAGATCGCCCTGCACTCAGTCGCAGGCAGTGAGCGAGACTCCGTCTCAAAAAAGCTCAAACAAACAGAAACCTGAAAA